TGGCTTCCACGTTCTTCAACTCTTTTTTAAAATGCGGAGGAAGGGCTGAAGATCACAGGTGAAGAGAGAGCACTTTAAAACTGAGGAAGTACTGTGTCTTGACTGCTCCACCGGATTAAAACCCTCTAATCTCTAAAAGCTTTAGAATATACAGTACCTGAGAGGCAAACAATGATTCCAGGGGCATCCCTGCCTTATGCTTTGCAACACACCACATTCAGCGTGTCATAACTGATTTGTAAATCAGTGTTGTAAAACTATAATTTCAGCACTGGAAAGTATGCTTTAAAAGAGTCTTAAGATATAAATAACAGAAAGATGACCCCAAGCTTTCAAGGAAATAAGCACAGCTCTCTCAAGATCAGATGAATACTTAACAATACGTTTTTCTTAAATTTCCAGGCTGCAATGTGTCTTTCTCACCTGCCTTTCTCATTTATTATCATAATGGAACACCTTCTATTCCATTCAAGAAAAACAAGTGAAATCTCAGTGATATGCCTGGAGAAATTAGTTAATGGAAATTCTGAAAGTGCTATTTATGACTTTACCAAGGTCTTCGTTATCTGCTTCCAGATTCCATTAACATGAAAGAACAGGGACAGCAAAGACTCTATGGTGCTATTTCTCAGTCCTAAGAGAAGGACTTTCAATAAAAGATATTCCCAGTGGTTGACACAGCTGTCATAAAAATTTAAAATAATAGATGGGATCAAGACCAGTTTGCAATCCTGCATGAGATCACAGGTGACAAAGCAGAAAATCCCTATTAAACTTATGCATTTTACCATGCACTGTCAGGGATGCTGTAGTCGTCTTGTCTCCACACACGCACGTGTAATCTCCTGCATCTTGTTCCTCCAGGCTATGGATTGTCAGCTCAGCAACGGCATCCTTCAGTCTCATTTTGTACTTGTCACTAGGCTTGAGCACCTTTTGCCCTTTCCTCCACTCCACCAGAGTGGGTTTAGTTAGCTCACACTGCAGAACAGCCGTCCCGTTTTCTGCGGCTTCCATATTGACAAGTTCCTTTTTGAACAGTGCAGGCAAAGCTATGGGATGTAATATAGAGTATATCAAAACCATTAACCAGACCTTGAGGAACTTAGGACTAGGTCCTGAGACCAGTCCTTCACTATTACAGGAAAACAAATCATATAGTCATGAAAACTGCACCTGTTAGAAACCTACTGCAGGATCTCACAGGGATGATTGCCACCCTGACCTGCTTCTAGCGTTGACTTACGCAGCGCATGCATCATCTCCCAGCTGATTCCAGTAGTCTCCTCTACCTATTTCAATCTGAAATCATCTATCTTGAACATTAATGACCTGACCTCTGATTGAAAGTTGTTGCCCTGGGTGATGGCACTGCTAGCTGGTGATTTCTACCTTTCCTGACACCATAATTTGTCTTTCTGGTTCAGAAAAAAATTCGTAATATAGCTTCATGTGCACCTCTAGGCCATAATTTCCAAGGACAGAATGGCTCTAATAGCAGGAATACAGGCTTTTTTTAGCCACATTCAGCAAGTTGCCTTGAGGTGTGCCACCAAAGTAAAAAGGAAGTGACTTGCACATGGAAGAAAGAGCCAGCTCAGAGGAGGGGAGGAACAGAAGTACCTCCAGCCAGGAGAAAGAAGAGGAAGTAAAAGCATCCAGAAAATCTGAGAGAAGAGAGTTTTGCCTCTGCAGTTTTGGCCCAGTCCTTAGAATCCTATTATCCTTAAGATGTATCTCAAATAAAAACTATTCTTTAATCTACTGGAACTATACATGAATTGCCTCTCCTGGAGGGGCAACCAAAGCTTGTTGCTATTCACCATGGCAGAGACAGGAACAAAATCTGCCTCGCTAGTCTCTAAATCAGGACCTGCAAAATAACAGGTTTGGGGTGCAGTTTTTTTGGAAAGTACTCTTTCCTCAGCAAAATATATCTCAGTCTATCAAAGGAGGAAGACAGTCATTCATTCCTGAATGGGAAAACCTTTCACTAACTGAGCTCAGCATTTTTAAAGAATGGTCCTTCAAGTTAAGCACCGAAATCCACTGACATCAGTGAGACGAGGCCAAATCTGAGAATAATCTCACTGCTGGAGGTCTGCTCACTCTTGGCCTTACATACAGGTGCCGGTTTTCAGTTTTAAAAAGTAAAGACTAAGACAGGAAATTCTCACAACTCTTCTTTACTTTGCTATAAGGCCACCAGTTTCAAACTGACAGTGGGAGATGGGATGAAACACAGCCAGCAAACCAAGAAAATACTGCAGAATCAAAACATCAAAGCAAGTGGGAAAGAAACCTCTGAGAGAACAGGGATCTCCCTGAGCTACTGCTATCGTAACGGAGAATGGCTTTTTTACCATGGACTGTCAAGACAGCTGAGGTCTTCTGATCTCCACACACACAGGTATATTCTCCTGTATCTTCTACCTCCAGATCTCGGATCAACAGTTCTGCAGCGGTATCTTCTTGTCTCATCCTATACTTATCACTCGGTTTGAGCATCTTGTCCCCTTTTTTCCACTCCACTGGGACACCGACCTTGCTCAGCTCGCAGTGCAGAGTGGCTGTTGCACCATCTGTGGCTTCTCTGTTCTTCAATCCTTCTTTGAAAAATGCAGGCAAAGCTGAAGGACAGCAATATGAGCAGTGAGATGTAATGCTCCGAAGAGTTAAAATTAAACATCGACGTTTAATTTTCCTTTTCCCTCTTATCTTGAACTGATTTATCATACAAGAACACAGATTGTCAATAGTCTCCATGAATCGTATGAGGAAAGAAATGTCATCACCAGGGAAGGATTCAATGCTTGGAGTAACCCGTAGAGATATTTTACATGTACTCACAGTCACAAATCAATACAGACAGAAGCAGAAAAGCCAATTTTTCTGTAAAATTTCAAACAAAAAAGAATAACTACTAGTTTGAAATTTCTGAAAAAAAATTGATTTTCTTATATGATTTTTTGAACCATAATGGAAGGATTTTTGCTATATTTTCACATACTTAAGCAAATGAAAATACATTGTCCATTAAAGAAATGAAACACTGGAGTTTCATCCTAAATGTCAGTTTGAAATGAAATTGTTCATTTCAATACATGGTGGGAAAACAAGCATTTTCACCTGAACTGACATATCCTTTCAAATATGCCAGTTGCAGTAAAAATCAAAGTTCTCCCTGGGAACAGTCATCCCTTAGAAGGTTTGGGCTTGCTTTACAAGGGAGAGTAACTGAACACAATGACAACTGGCCTCATCTCATTGTCCCATGGAGTATGGGGATAAGATTCCAGGGAATAACCTAACCTTCAGGAATTTTATGAAACCTTAAAATCATAGTCCCTTCGAGGAAAGCCAAAGTCTAATAAAGGAACTTTCAAGGGGAAAAGCAAAACGATGGACCCTAATTAAAACAGTAGCAGCAATCCGTGTTGCCTATATGTTTCTCTGAGCTTGCGCACCTATACCCGTCTTGTGCCACGTGCCCCAGCCACGCTGATGCCAACGAGAGCACTTCATTGGCATCAGTGAGCTGTGGGTAAGGGTCTGGCAGAAGGAAGGAGATGGTAGGGTAACCAGGTGTCTGTCCAAGTGAACAGAGAAAACAGGATGGTTACTTTTAGTGTGTGTGTCTTGTTTTGGTTGTTTACCATGTACTGTTAAAACTGCCATAGTCTGCTGGTCTCCGCACACACAGGAATAATTTCCAGCATCCGTCATGTCTAGATTTTGGATTGTAAGCTCAGCAACGACACCTTCTCGCTTCATTTTATACTTGTCACTTGATTTGAGGGTCTTGAATCCCTTCTTCCACTCCACGTTAGCAGCAGCCTTGTTCAGCTCACAGTGCAGAGACACACTTTTACCTTCTGTGGCTTCTTCATCTGTCAGTTCTTTGGTGAAAAGAACAGGCAGGACTGCAGAGTAAATGCAATACGGACATGGCATCAAAGCTGAGAAAGCCTGACCCATGATCTACTTGCTTTCTTATCTCCCTGAACCTGCATGTCACTGAAGCCACAAGACCTTCCTCACACTCCAGGATTTTCCTCCTATCTCTAACATTTCAAAAGAGATTTAAGACTGATTTTTAAATTTTTGTCCTCACACTTTAAAACTTGCTTTAAAACCAAATCTGTCTGCAAACTTAGTTGACAAGTCATCTATCCTTTACTTTATACGCCATAAAATCAAAAGGGGTAAAATTAGAGGCTGTATTTCAATATGAGACCCAAAGCATTTTGTTTCCTTTGAGATAAACAGCAGTTTTGCAGAAATGCCTGATTCATGGCACTGTCTGTATTTTTATAAATAGAGCCCCTTAAAACAGAGCAGTTACAAACATGCTGTCAGCTTTCTGCAGAGATAAAGTGTATGCTTTGGAAGAGTTAAGCCAAAATTGTTTCAAAAGGGCTGGGAATAGCAGGAGCATAAAAAGGCTATTTTTCATTAAGATAGTCCTGGTGTAGCATCACACATTGATGAAAACTTGATCCTCTTAGGAGCAACAAGTGCAACACTCTTAAGTTACAAAAAGTAAGTATTATTCCTACTTTTTGGTCAATCCCTATTGGAAAACTTTTAAACAAGCAGTTATACTGGACTAGGGAGGTGGTGTTGAGTTGGGGACCTGTACTCGTCATTTGAACATAGCACCTAGGAAGACAAATAGTACATCAAGAGGGCATCAAGTGAGAGAGAGAAGCAAAATAGGATAGAAAAATCAGTCAGCAAGGTGGGGGGGAAGGAGGGGAAAAGGAGGATGGAAACTATACATGGACCAGATGAAACAGGAGAAAAAGAGAAAGCAATCTTGGAATTATACGGGTTTACTTGGGGCACATGCTGAGAATTCCTTTTTACCATTTACTGTCAAAGCAGCCGTAGTCTGTTGATCTCCACACACACAGCTGTAATCACCAGCGTCTGCCAAATCCAAATCACGGATAATCAGCTCCGCAAAGGGACCTTCCTGCTCTATTTTGTATTTTTCACTTGGCTTCAGGACCATATTCCCCTTTCTCCACTCGACTGGGGCCGATTTGCTCAGTTTACAGTGCAAAGTGACTGCGTCTCCCTCTGTAGCTTCCTTGTTCAACATTTCTTCTTGGAAGAGGATAGGCAGGGCTGAAGGATGCAATACCAACAGAGAAGGAATCAGCACTAGATGGAAATGAACTGGGCTCTGCTGTGAGTTACTGGGCTGCAGTGCATACATTTAACCAAAAATGCACTACTGCTAGGTGGATACAGTTGAAAGAGGGGTAAAATCTCCTAGAGTAGAGAGAAATAAATTAGAGAAAACAATACACAACATAGCTGTGCTGTTTCAAAGAGGAAAAAAAAATACAGAAGGGAATATTCTCTAATAGGGTGACTATTTGGCACCACAGAGCCAAGAACTTGAAACCTCTAAGAAATCACTGACCAAGCTTTGGATGACCAGCAAATACTTTTAAATATGCTAAATTTGAGGCTTAATGAGAAACACAGTTAGAACAGTTACCATTCACTCTCAAAGCAGCTGTTGTCTTCTGATCTCCACACACGCAGGTATAGTTCCCAGCATCCGCCAAGTCTAGGTCTTGGATCACCAGCTCAGCAAAACGCCCTTCCCGTCTCATTTTGTATTTGCCATTTGGCATCAGGACCTTCCCGTCCTTCCTCCACTCGACCGAGTCCACCGCCTGGCTCAGCTCGCACTGCAGCGTAGCCGTCCCACTCTCGGTGCCTTCTTCATTCTTCAGCTCTTTTTTGAAACGGACTGGCAGGGCTGAGAGATGCAGAATGAAAAGGGATTGCAACCCAAGACCCTGCCCAGATATCTGGTCAGGGACTGAATCGTGATTTAGCGTATGACTACCTAAGCCTTATTCCAACACCCTTATCCTTAAGCACATCCTGCCTTTTTTTGTGGCTGGTAAAAAAGAATAATCTCTAGTAAATTGTTCTGTGAGAATCAAAGTATGCGTGATCTTGATTGGGATCATGCATACAAATGACAAACTCATCCTCATCATTAAAAGTGATGAACCCTCCTTAACAGAAAATCCCAAGGAATCTTCTGTTTCCATACTAATTCAGGAAAACATACATGCAGATCAGCACTCTTCACTTCAGGAGAGGAGAGAAGACAACACAACCCACACAACATTGAACATAATGAAAGCTGATCGTGGATGGAGATTGGGGAAAGGAGTGACATGGCAACATGAAAAAGTGGGAGGATGAAAAAAGTAGAAGCAGGACGTAAAGGTAGGTGTTGTACAGAGAAGAAGAGGGAAGAGATGAACAGAAACATTCCAGAGTTTCACGGGTTATTTCTGAGGTTTTACCATTCACTGATAAGGCTGCTGTGGTTTTTTGGTTCCCCACTACACATGTATAGTCTCCAGCATCCTTTGGGTCCAGATCGTGGATCAGCAGCTCAGCCACCATGCCCTCCTGCCTCATCCTGTACTTGTTACTTGGCCGGAGAAGAGCATGCCCCTTCCTCCACTCCACGGGGGCCTCTCTGCTCAGCTGGCATCGCAGGGTGGCAGTCCCACCTTCCACGGCTTCCATGCTCTTCAGCTCTTCTTTGATGAGCACAGAGACGGCTGAGGAATGAAGCGTTCTCATTTTACTTTAGGAGCATCATTACCAACCGGTGACCTCATATGGGACTTAAAACCAAAACAAATTCTGTTGGGAGAGCTAATAAGCTTTGACCTACCTGCACTTCCAGGACTCTACTTGCATTTACAATAGCATACCATGAGTTTGGGAGGAAATAAAACCAAACCAATTATTTCCCAATAATTAGAATATCAAAGTAATTACCCTTCTGCTGCCCAAAAGCTGATGGTCACAGACGCTTGAAAAACTTGCTGAGAAAGTGCAGAAGAGCATTGCATAATCTTTAACCAAATATGTAGCTGAGGCCCTTCTTACCTTCCAGCTTAGAGCTTAGACAAGTTGCCTCTGTCCAGAGCAGAAAGCAGAACACTTATTTCAGAGGCAAGGAAAGATGTCTTGTTATCAGGTATATTTGATTGCTATGTTTTAGCATGAAGTTATTGTCCTGGAAAACAGAGAACATAATGGGCCCAGCCAGAGCTGCCTTTTGTTTTTACTGATCCCTTTTTTTCCAGAATGCTCACTATAAATGTGCAGGAGCTAGCAGGACCATGGCAAGAATAACAACAAACGGTCACAAGCAGGCATCTTATTCCTACCATGGATTTTGACTTGGGCTGTGGTCTGCTGGTCTCCAGTGTCACAGATGTATCTTCCCGCATCTTCTGGCTCTGCATTATGAATCACCAGCTCTGCCACTGTCCCCTTCTGCTTCATTTCATATTTGGCACTTGCCTGCAGCGTGGCTTCTCCCTTCTTCCACACCACGGTGGCATCAGCTTTTGTGAGTTCGCAGCGCAAGGAGACAGATTTCCCCTCTTCCATTTCTGTGTTCTCCAGGGCTTGTTTAAAAAGGACAGGCACAGCTAGAACACAGAACCGGGGATTAGGACGTACCCTCCTGACCCGATGTACAAGTGCCCCATGATAGCTGTCACCTCTTAAAACCAGTCCTTTTCCAAATGAGCAGAGGAGCCTTAGACCCTCCCTTGGATGTGTGGCATCAAAGTGATTCTGCTTGGAAGCGGGAAGAAATCTCTCCCCCCAGATGTTATCATCTCACTGCAGATTCCTAGGAGTATGAGGGAAGTTTCCCTCATATTTAATCAGAACCCTTTCAAAGTCCTCTGGGCATCCTCCTCTAACGAATTCCCTGCTGCTGCAGGGCTCTGGGACAGTATTCATGCCCTGTATCTCCCGCTTTCTGCTCCAGCGTGTACTGCTTTTGCTATACTACTAACGCTATTGTATTTGTTTAAGGGCATTGGGGAGGGCAGATGGCGTCTGAGAGCCTTTAAAAAGGATGTTTTGGGGAATCTGGGGGTCTAAACAATCGGTTGGCCACCTGCAATTTGCCAGGGATGGGACTTAGGTTTTCAACTTCTTGTGCTCCAATGCTCCTGGTCTCCATCTCTAACTCCAGTCTTACTAACAGCCATGTAAAATAGCTGATAGGTCAGGAACTATGGCACATAGGGTATAGAAAATGAACCCTCCTCACTTATTTATTATTTTGCTCAGTGGGAACTTATAAAGTTCTGGATGCACAAAGTGGGATTACATGAACAATATATACAGAGGTCCTTACAAGTGTGCAATATTACCTTTAAATTTTACGTATGAATTTGTAGATGGCACTACCAAAAATAAAAGTGCTATGTGATTTTATTTATAAATATAAGATCTATTAAGCAATGCATTAAGAAAGCGTGGCGATGTATCTAACTCTGCCTACCGTTTACTTTCACCCGAGCAGTGGTCTTCTGTTCCCCAGTACTGCAGGTGTAGTCCCCAGCATCTATTGACGTGACATCTCGAATAATGAGCTCTGCCACAGTACCACACTGCTTAAATTCATACTTCTCACTAGCATAGAGAACAGTGTCTCCTTTCATCCATTTGACTGGCATATCAGGTTTGCTGAGCTCACAGGTCAGCTTGACTTGTTTTCCTTCTTTAGCCTCTTCGTTTTGGAGCTCTTGCTTGAAAAGAACTGGTATCTCTGGAAAAGAACATTGCAGATGTTTAAGGAAACGCACAAGATCGGAAATCACTTTTTCTTTTTTTGTTTCAGACTTTGCTATTAAGATAGAAAGCCACAGGAACAGAAATGCACTAGCAAACACTACACAGATTCTTACAACTCACATTTGGGTGCCAGCACTCTACAGCAGCAAAAATATTTGCTATCATATGCTTTTTTTTTTGCTTTTAATCACTATCTGTACTATTGAAGACATTGCTACTATTACTGTTGTCATTATTAACAGTAGTGGTAGATGCCGTACTGCTATTAATGACACAGTGTGTTGCAGATGGACAGTCACAGCTGGACCACTGGCACAAAAAAAACCAACGTAAAACTTTACTGAGATCAACTCGCACATAACACACAGAACACAAAGAAATGGCAATGCACTCTCTGTAACTACCAGCAGTATTTATTTCTCATTATGAAAAAACCCCACAACGTATTTTTATCAGACATGCATACAGACTTAAAAACAGCACGGAGCATACACAGAGAGGAAAGCAGCGCTGTGTGTGGGTCCCTGTGGACATTCCTACACAGGCTCTGTCACAGCCTGGGATTCAAGGCTTTAAGGTGACCTAGGATAGAGAAGGCACTAATGGGGAAAAAGACCTCAACTGAAGTCTTTTCCCTTCAGGCCATGAAAAACAAACAAACAAACAAACAATTTCTTCCTGGCTTTTGCCGTCTTGTAAATATGCAAGTCAGCTACTGATCCGTGATGCAGCTGTCCTGCGGCTGTTGAAAAACTACAGCCTATTCTGTTCCCCTTTTACCTCTAGTTTGGGACACTCAGTGTCACATGCCTACTGACTTCCCCCCCACCCCACCCACCCATTTTTGCATTGTGCTGCAACCCTAACAGATGAAGGAATGCTACAAGAGTGTAATTCGTTGTAGGCATCCTTATGAGTTGACTCCTTCACATCTACTGGTGATCTGAATCCATGTGTTTAAATCCCGCATCCATCCACACCCTTCTTTGTGAAGGAAGAAATAGAGCTGTTGTTTAACAGTCACTCTGAGTGGGGGTTTTTATAACAGATAAATTTCCTCTTCATCATGAGTGAGATCCAGGTCCTACTAAAGTCAACATAGATGTTTCATTTTTGTTTAACTAGTATTGGGAAAGCATCCTAGTACTAAGATGAGTGGCATTCCTCAGGGGTTAGACCTTATTGCAGCTTTCCAGTCCTTAAAGTGGCTACAGGAAAGCTGGAGAGGGACTGTTGATAAGGGCAAGGAGTGACAGGACAAGGGGGAATGACCTGAAGGTGAAGGAGAGGACATTTAGATTAGAGATAAGGAAGAAATTCTTTACTGTGAGGGTGACGAAGCACTGGAACAGGTTGCCCAGAGAAGTTGTGGATGCCCCCTCCCTGGAAGTGTTCAAGGCCAGGTTGGATGGGGCTTTGGGCAACCTGGTCTAGTGGAGGGTGTCCCTGCCTATGGCAGGGGGTTGGAACCAGGTGGGCTTTAAAGGGCCCTTCCAACCCAAATCATTCTAGGATTCTAGAATTAAAGGCATATCAAATCTGGACCATTAACCATGACCTCTCTTCTTCATTACATTATGAAGTCTTCTCTTTCCTTGCACAGCAGATCTCAGCCTTAAGTTGGCTTGTTTCTTTGTGCTGTAGATAAATACTGTGAGCATCTTGCCTTCCCTCTTCATGCTCTGACATTCAGGTTGACTATTCCAACAATCCAAATGCTTTTTGTTCACACTGACTTCTCTGATCTGGGTGCAGCTTCCAATCAGCCCCTCCAGCGCATGTTACGAAGAGCTGCATTCAGGATATCCGCTGGTCAGCCTAAACCCAGCCTGTGACATTAACAGCCTCCCAGTATCTGCTCGAACCTGCCCATGTGAACGAGCAATTTTGCTCACAGGAACCAACCTCCTCCTCAACCTCAGGCTGGAGCAGTGACTCAAGACAGGCTGGAGCAATTATAGTGTGGGTAGCAGGTGAGCCTGGTTCTGACATGGCTCAGACCCAACACTTACCTAACGTACATGTTGCTTACCAAACATGCTCGAGGAAGTATATTAAAGTCTCACGTGTCTAAGAAGAGAACTTTTGCTCCGGGTCAGACAACAACCCTTCAGATAGCACCTCCTTCCTGATCATGATCTTTGGAATAAAAACTTAGGGTGCACTACTGTCAATAAATTTGGCTGCCTAAAGCAATTACCCATACAAATGTGGGTGTATGAGCTCCCTCTTTGGAGAGAGCCATTGGTGGAGATAGCTTCAGAAGCTGATTCATCCTTTCTCTGGATTATCTCTTAGGCTGGGTGATCTCCTGCAGAGATACCCGCTGTTCTCTACTGACCCATTGCTCTCTGCTCCAGAGAGCTCAGGCACTTCATTTTCACAGAATTAAAATCAGGTAAGATGAAGGATTTTCCCATTTCACATTCTGTCAGCTCTCTGGGCGCTGTCCCGGATGACTTGATGAGAACCTCTCCTGCACTGAGGTGCAAAGACATGAGGTTCTTTTCAGTACAGTTTCACATTTTTATCATTTCAATTTATTACTCTGGCCTCAATATTAGATGACGAGTTAGGACCCAAACCATCACTCCAAATGTTCTTACCCTTGACAGTAATAACCGCACTACTTTTAGCTGCTCCAGCCTCACACTCATATCTGCCACTGTCTCTTTCTTCTGCCCTGTGAATGACAAGCTTGGCTTCAAATCCCGACCGGCTGATGTTATACTTGGAAGAATTCCTAAGGCTCTTCCCGTCTTTGCACCACTTTACAGGGCTGTCTGATTTGGAGGTTTCACAATGAAGGATCACATCCTCTCCCTCAGTGACTTCAGTATCAGCCAGCTCCTTTGTGAAGATGCAGGGCTTCTCTAGAATCACATAAAAACCATCTGAGATATTTCAGAAGAGGTGTGAATTTTCAGATCACAAGTAATCTGTGAGATTTACATCCAAGATTACTTGTATTAAAATTACAGGTCAAGGTTAGTAACAAATAATTTGGTGTTCATGACTATAAAGCCCTCAGAAAGGCACCAGTCGTGCCATAAAATGTTGTCTAGTAAATACCTAATGCCATCTAGGATAAACTGAGAAGAAAATATGCCTGTTGAAGAACATAAGATCTCTCTCGCATCTCGCTAAATACAAACAGAATAGAGACACGATTTTCCTAATCCCTTTTACGTGTGAGATGGTTAGTTTGGACCTTCTAACTGAATGTGGAAAAGCTAATTCTGCGTGAAGTGAGGTGCAATACAGGTTTCTCAAAGCCAGTCACCTAAAGCAGGTCTCATTTCATCAGTATGAGCCATCTAAAAACCAGGCAGATAGCTCAAACTGGTCGTGTAG